TCTTCCACAAGGAAGTCTGGTGTTTTTAGTGTCGGTTGCTCATCTTGCTTCTTTTGCTTGTTATTTTGCTTATTATGCAGTTTTTGCTTGCTTTTTCCAGCAGTATCCTCCATACTTGGCAGGGGTAGTCTCAGTCACAGTGTGTATTGTTCTCGATCGATTTCAAGAGAAAGAAATGGGATCGATACACCGTGTTAAAAGCATGGGGAAATGGTTCCGACACAGTTCCTTCTTATAAATTGGAAACAGAACAATTGTATGAAGGAGGTGTGCTGCCAATCTAACACRATTAGTGGCCTAATTTGTGAGCAAGTTTGTCTGTTGAAGTGGAGTGTGTCCGTTGTGGGACTGAAATCCGTTGAGTCAAAGTAGTCTTTACACGGTAATTAGATGGCCGCTTATCCACGCACACGTATAATTTAACCGTATAACTGTTTCAGTCTTGAACTGACAGTTWGGGCAATAACTTTTTCCCCAACGGACGCTTAAYAATGATAAGCACATGGTTGAAAAGAGAATTGAAAGAGCTTTCTAATGCCGTGGGGKAGTGCGGCGTACGACGAATATTGACTGATATTCGTTTACGAATATATTGAATTCCGAATGTACGGTTACAACCGTCTTTTTTTGCGTGGCCCACGCTATACGATAATCAACTTCTTTGAAGGTTCCACCACTATTCCTAGCCTTAGTAGTAGCAGAGAACTTCCAAACAGAGTGAGTACCCACCTTCCCTGCTGATTCTGCAGTAGTTGCTGGGATAAATGCTTCACTTGTTACTGCTGCCTTCACAGTCCTAGCATAATTCAACTTCATCCTTTCAACTTCTTGCTCTTCAATTGGATCTTGACAATCAGTATCTCCCTCACCAAACAACCACTGACTAGTACTAGTCCTTCCTTCACCAGAGGAATGCCACTTCTCTAGAAAAACTGCAAGCCCAACCAAAACACAGTAATTTGTATCCATTGCCCCTAGCATCAACTGCTGAGGGCAATGGCACTCCTCACTAACATTAATGGACCATTTCAACTTCACACACATATAATTACTAGGATAGCCCAAGCTCTCATGAAGGTTTCCTTTCATTACATGTGCAGCATCATCCATCCTACACATCAAATGCAGCTGAAACTTGAGCATCACTTGATGTCTCAGAGTATCAATCAGCTGGCCCTGATTAGATACCATTTGCACTATCTGAACAAACTCAGAGTGTGTCAATTACCTATTAGCTTCACTTGCTCTACCAGTGCCTCTTGTCTCAGCCTTCTTTGCTACAGCAATCAGCTTATTGACTAGACAAGATTTAGTAGGATTCCCCACTTCATTAACCTGCTCATCCCAGGGAGACTGAGTCAACATGAAATGAGACAGGGCCTTCTCCCAATATGCCATTGATGTAGACCTAGCTTCTTTAGGACAGTCTGCACTCCCAGGATCTGCTTTTCCATAGGCTCTTGCACAGAACCATCTGTAGATATCCTTTGGCCTAATTGATGCCTTCTGTTCATCAGTGAATACATGATCAAAATCATAAACACAATCATCCTTGAATTCAATGAACTTGCAGAAGCAATTGTAGTAGGTACCAATTGCCTTGGGGACATTGACACCTACCTCTGTCTCTAGAATAATCCTCTTCTTCCTCCTCCCTGCTGTTGATTTCTGCTTTTTGCTCTTCCTTTTCTTTGTTGCACTGTTGCTCCTGCTCCTGCTGCTGGCATTGCTTCTGGTTGTCGTGTTGCTGCTGTTGGCGCTAGTTGATTTTTTGTGATGCATCGTATCAACCACTTAACTGGACCAAACAGATGTTCTACTGGGTTGGCTATGGTGCACTACACTTCGCTTCACTATCTTTAGTGCGTGTAGCCAGTAACTTTGAAGAATTCTTACAGCCCTGGACTTACCGAAGAAACAAAAAGAAATTTGTTTTTAGTGTTGATTTTTACAAACCCTGGTATACCATTTTTTGCAAATAAATTAGTACCTTGACCAAAATACATTATTTCATTTTTAACTTAACAAACATTCAGTCATTATTGTGACAACAAGTCATTCTACTAGCAATAACCTAGTTTTTGCACCGTAGTAAGTTTTTTGGCCGCCGCCATCCTTCAAAAAAAAAACCAAGGCGGCGGCCGCAACCAATCATTTGGAGCACTTAAAGGCACGTTAAATTGACAATGGAGATGAGGGATACACTTGTGGTGGTCTCACTGTATATGATGTTTTCCAAGTCTGGACGTCCCCCGGTTTTTCGAATGATCCAGAAATTTGGCAAACCAACCAAAGATTCTTCACGACGATGCATTTCTTTTCCCGTTCGATCACACTTCACTTCACTTCACTTCACTTCACTTCACTTCACTTCACTTCACTTCACTTCACTTCTCTTCCTCTCTTTCAGGTGAATAATCGGTCCTTAAAAACACCAACAGCAATAACAGTTTTCCTGACCTCCAAACTTCGCTCTTATTGGATTGAAGAAACAGGAGAAACTCAGTCCTTTTGAATAGATTGTGTTCGCGATGAGGCTTGTAACTGGAGATGAATGCGGGTTGCTGAAGGAAGTAATACCGGAGCTTGGCCGGAAGAAGAAAAATCCGAATGCTCTCATTCAACCTCACAGCGCTATGATCGATGTCACGACAACAGGCATGTCGAGAGTTGATCCAAAAGAACCACAGAAACGCGTCCGAGGTGTGGTCGATATGGTTTGGATGGAGGAAGGCGACGATTTCAACTCTTCCTTCAGTGTTTTGCGAAAAAATGGATCGGTGGATTTATGGACTTCAAACATTGAAAAGAAAAAATCATTTGGGCAATACTCCCTACAGCATTCAACAGCGAACAACATTTTTGGAACCGAAGACAGTCCTCGTCCCCTGGGGATCGGAGTATTTCACGAACAGAATCGACTCGTTGCCGGAGATATGCTGGGGAACATCGCCGTCTTGGACACTAAGAATGAGGACAAATACGACATAGTCCAGACGTACAATTCGTATACTTCGAACAAGGGGGGGAGCACAATATCTTATACACCAGGAAAAATGGAAAACGTGCAGCTTGCTACTGCTATTGCGTTTGATACGGCTCGTGGAAGAGCTGCCCTTGGAGGACGAGAACGAGAGGTGTGTCTCACAGATATTTCGACCGGGAAGCTGGTTTTCAAAACAAAAAACACGCCTCCCGATCCGCAGACCTTGCTTCAGCAACCCGTTTGGCCAACCGCGATCCAATTTCTCAACAAGGACTCGAACATGATGGCCGTTGGTACAGCGTACAAGCAGGTTCGTATCTACGACGTTCGAGAGAATTCCAAGACACGACGACCGACAAGCCTAACTCCGGAAGGATTGCTGGATTACCGTGTTACTTGCCTCTGCCAGATCGATGAACACGAACTCGTCGTTGGCGATGCCTCGGGCGACATTCACACCATTGATATCCGAAAGCTTGACAGGCGATCCAAGGGGCCCGCGAACAAGAATTTGGCGAGGTATGCTGGCCCAGCTGGCTCCGTCCGGCAGCTCAAGAAACACCCTACTCTGCCTCGATTGACAGCGGTCGGTCTCGATCGGATGCTTCGGGTGTACGATACCAATACAAGGAAACAACTCGATTGTGTGTACCTCAAACAGCGATTGAACTGCGTTTTGGTCCACAAAAACGACAACTGGGCATCGTCCGACGATGGCGGAGTTTTCAGCGACGACGACTACGACGCAGACGATGTCGACATTGATCAGGACGACGTGGTTCGAGACTATGTCGACTCGGACGACTCGGATAATGACGAAGGAGATTCGGAAGTAGACTCGGAAGAAGACAGTGGTGCCGAGGACCGGCCAAACGATGGCGGAGACAGCAGCGATGCCGAGGAAGGGAGCTTTGACGAGGATAGTTCGGAGGAAGAAATGGGTGACGAAGACGACGGCGACGACTCCGAGGAATCCGAATCAGAGGAAGAGGAAGAGCAGCAGTCAAAAAGGAGGAGGCGCAGATAGTGTACTAGTAGCAACTATTGAAAAATAGAGTTTTCATATAGGTGCGGAAGAAGACTAACGGTACTATCCTAGGATTTCCTTCTGATAGCAATAAACCAGAAGTTTGACCTTTTGTTTCCTCTTCAGAGGCCTGTTGATACTAGCTATTGTGTTGTACTTATTATTGCACGATCTCACGAAGGAGCCTTCGGTGGAAGTTGTTGTTACATTAGTTGTTAGTTGCTAGAAAAAGATCATGGTACGGTACTTCGTTCGGTACACGGAAACGTGAACGTTTGAGTAGCCGTTCCTGGATGATGTCGTCTGTTTCCGTACGGCTTTCACACGTTTCGAGACGGAAAAACTTCGTTTTCTCGGCAGCCTTGATGGAAACGCAAAGAATCATCAAAAACAACAAACGAAGCACCGTCGAAGCATTTGTTCTGTGAAACGATACCGTCTTTCTCCGCAACAACGCGGCACCAACATCCAAGCCTAGTTCAGGCTCGCCGTTTCGCTGCTTTGGGTCTGGTCGACTCATTGTGCGAACAACACCGACCGGTGCATTCAAGATGGCGTTGCACGAGTCGCTCACTGTTTTGATCCAGGTGCGTCGCGAGCAGGAGTGAGAGAGCGAATGGTCCGTGCAATGTTCCCGACCACGGGGTCGCGATCGCACCCACCGATTCGCAGTGGAGATTTCCTAGAGGGAATCCGGAATCCGTTCCGTCGTTTGTTCATCCATTTGTTTGTTTGTTTGTTTGTTTTTTCGTGTCGTTTCGTTTCGTCCTTTTCTGCCGTGGCAGACGTCACCGATCCCCTCCCACCCGTCGACGGCACTGCTCGAGGCCTTGTTCCGGTCCTTCGAGAAGGCGGATGGCCTGCTCGAATCTCGGATCGTGATTTTAGCGGACGGATGCGAGGCGCTGGGTCACGACGGGGGAAGCGCGACCCCGACCGAATCCGGCAAACAGGCTACCGAGAACATCAAGCACGGCAGGTGCTACTCTCGGACGGCCGAGAACTACCTGCGGCACCTGGAGCTGCTGGAGCGAGCCGTTCGGGAGGGAACCCCTCCCTTTTGTCCCCGCGCCGGGGGCAGCATCGAGCTGGTCCGGCTGGAGTCGAGGCACGGGTCGGCCCCCGCCATAGAGGCGGCAATGGCGCGGTGCGTTTCGACGCCGCTCGTGATGATCTGCCAGCACGACAACTTTTTTGTCAACGAGGCACCACTACGGGGGGTGGTGGCGGCCCTCCTGGAGGAACCGAGGGGCCTCGGGATCGATGCAAACTGCGTCCATTTCCTGTCGACGGCGACGCTGAATTACCGGGAAAAGATCCAGAGGCGGTACAAACTGGACATCGGAGAGCCCCGGAGGGTAAAAGCCCTGGAGGATCCCCTGGTCCCGCTCGTCTTCTGGTACGGGAGATCCCACGTTGCATACAGCGATTATGTTCGGTCGCACTGCCTGAATCGGGAACTCGCAAGGGGGAGCCACCTCGAAGAATTGCTCGGAGAGAAGCAGCTGCACGACATTGTCGAGGTAGGGATGGAGGCCCACAAAAAGTACGGGACGTATGTTCTGGACCAGGGGTTTGAGGTATTGTACCACATGTCGGGGCGACGGGTGCGGGCGGCCGATCCGAGCGATGCCACAGAGAACTTTGGCCAAAAGGATTCCTCGATCGAGAACAAGCAACAACAACAACAACAACAACATAATCATCGCCAGCAGCAACAACAACCGCTCGAGGGATCCTTCACCACCGCTCGAGAAACGAGGGCCAGGGTGCCGGGGCTGGCTTTTTTCGCTCCGGATGGCGAAGGTGCACCGAGAACCACCGCGCCGGCGAACCGAAAGCCATTCAAGCAAAGGTGCTTTCACTGCGGAGAAAAGGGCCACAGCAAAAAGTTCTGTCCGAAGCGAGAAGTCTCCTCTCTTCGGAACGACCACGCGCCCGAGATCATTGAGCTCTGAGAGGAATGGGAAGCCACGCACGATCCTAACCTTCCGACAGGGCTTCCACTGAAGGAAACGTCCGGCGCAAGAGAATGTAATATGGCTTTTGGTCGGACGAAGGATTTTAGTGTGTACCACAACCCACCGCACTGTTGGTCGGCTGCACGATAGGATGCTACTCAATAACACTGGAGAAAATAGATGTAGAACTATATTGCTATAGGCTTTTTCGATACAATCGTCCCGTTAAAATGTCATGCGTGGTACGTTGTGTATCCATTAGTATCGTAGCTTTGCAGCATTGTAGATCGGATCATCTCTTTGACTGGAAGTTACACCGGCATCCAGCATCGGATCTAGCACTGCGTTCATAATGTGTTGCGCGGCAAAGCGTTATTGGTTTGGCGAAATCGAACGCTCGGAAGCGGCCAGGAGCCGCTCAAACGTCACGGCAAATTGTTGGCAGGCACCAACGTCCGTCGACTGAATGGTGACGGAAACGTGAACCTCGTATTTTCCCCGGGTACTGGTCCGTGGCTTGGAAACCAAGACCGTGATCGGGCACTCGGTGAGGTTCAGATCGAGCTGGATCTGCGGCTCTGGACCCGGACCCCCATCGGTCTCGGACGACACGACAATCCGGCAAGGGGGTCCCACAATTTTTTCCAAGAATTTCATTGGGATTGTCTGCATCGTATCCAACTGGTCCGTGTCGGCGAAGGATTCGCCTATTTCGGAAAGACTCTTTTGGTCCGCATTGTTCACCCTCACTGCCTGGGAGGCGTTGGAGCTTGTAGTTGCAAGGTCGAGAAGCACCAAGTCGGTGGAATAGATGCGCGGGAGAAGCGGTAGCTTCTTCGAGGCCAGGAGTGGTTGCCGACGGATCGCCTTGGCCAGCGATTGGACCAGAACGTGCGAGATAGCCGAAGGCTTTGTGGAATCAAGATGCACGGCAAAGCGGCAGCACACGGAACCGTGACCGATCGGCATATTGCCGGTGGTGTTCCCGCTGCCGGTCAAAAATCGAACCACCGAGGATAAATTGTAGATTAGAACCCATCTCGCAACTAGTGTTGAGGTCACCGCAAAGGACAGGGCCGCAGGAAGATCGAATGATAAGAGCATTAGAGCCTTGTACAGAACAAGAGGCGCGGCGAGGACGAGGACTTCGTTCTCTCGGACGAATCTAATCGCCGTGCTAAGGTTTTTGTCGGCTGCGTCGTCACTGCTCTCACCGTCCCGAAACAAGGGCTCCAAGTCCCGCTTCGATCCGTTCGTTGCAGCCACCGGGTCTTCCTCCACATGAAGCTCGTTTCGGGTTCCCGTCGCGGCCGACGTGCTGTCCACGCTGTTCCGGATCCGTCTTCGGTCCTTGCGTTTCGAGCGTGGGTTGGACCGTATGCCACGGCCGGGGCGCACGGGTGGCGGTGTTGCTTGTGAATACGGCTGCGGTGCATTGCTTGCTGTCCCGCTCTGGCACACACGACGGATCCGGAGAATCCATTCCTCGCGTGTCTCTGGGTCTCTCGCCGCCAGGTGTGAGTGGGTTCCGGTCTCGTGGTCGGTAATGGTAAGTGTATAGAGGCCGTCCTGAGGCTTGGTCAGGGCTTCGTTGGCTTCCACCGTCGATCCCAGGAGGTAAATCGTGCCCCTCGGCACCACGTCGCAGTCGATCGTACCGGTGGACATGGCCGATGACTCTGATAAGGTCCGCCTGCGGTTGTTGCCACTGTTGAGAATGTCGGTGGCGGGGGGGGTGTCCAGCGGGGACCCGTGAATGTTGCTGCGCGAACCCCGCCTCCTGGGTGTGGTGGTGCCGCTGCTCCCACCGGAAACAATTTGTTGCGGGCCGACGCCGGCCTCCTGGTTTGCCAGGAGGTAGTACGTCAGCACGCGCTGGTCGGGGTGCAGCACAAACCACCTCGGCCGCCAACGGTTCTTAAAAATGTCTCGTCGTTTCCACAGGAACCCCTGCATGCTCAGCGCCGATCCGTTGCTATCACCGTAATCGTTTCCCGAACGGAGGTTTGATCCATTGCTGCTGCTGTTTCGGGGAGGTCTCGTTGGCGTCATCATCATCCTAGGTTCTTCTGTTGCTGTCGCGTCCGCTTCGAAGCTAAGGTATTCGAGAACGGTGGGTGGACAGTCGTTGTTTGGTTGCATGCTCGAGGGGCTTGGAACAGAGTTTTATTTCGATACGAGTAATCGAGTACTCGCTCCCAATTCGTGAGGCGGTCAAGGGAATTACTTTTACGAATTACGAATCTAAGAAGGACTACTTCTTCGTATTATTTCGGAAATTGTTTGGGTTTGTTCGTGGATTGATTCAATTCAATTCATGAAGATTATGTGCCGTAACGTTTCTACTTGTATTGGTGCCTTCAGGTAGATTGCTAGTCATCGTTTTGGACCTGTTTTCGTTTAAAAAAATAGAACTCCATCGTACGAATACGTATTGGTACGTACGATACAAGTATCGTCGAGTGTCGAGTAGGGTACGTACCCGTACCGACCGGTAGGTTTGATCGAAGAAAAAATTCAAAATCGAATCTCGTACCGCAACGGAAATTGACTCATTCGATCGATGTAATCAGTGGAGTCAATTCCGATGCCATCAATCGGGATCATAAAACATCGTACAGTACCGTACGGGTAGTCCTCGTACGTACGTATCTCGTACAGTAGTTTTATTCGATTGATCCAATCAAAAAAGCACCGTTCATTTTCTACTGCATCGGTACCTACGTAAGTACTCGTACCGGCATAACGCCATGGAATCTCTACAATTTACTCGTACCCAGAATGAAAACCTTCTTCAATCAAAACGGCAGATCCCTGCAATCGGCATCGGTACACCCTGCTGCTTGATGGTAGTGAGGTACGTACAATTGTACGTACAGGAATTTCGTACTGTAGTACGGTCCGGTATTTTGTATTTTCTCTCCGCCTGGCGAAGGAACAGTAAAAACTGGTTTTGTGTCTTCGTCGTGATTGCCATCGACCAGACTCGGCTTCGACTTCTGTTTTATTGGCGACTCACTCTCTCACTCCCACGTTCCGCCGTCTACCGTAGCGCAGTGCGATACGAACCGCCGTACTTCTACTGATACCCGTACTATCAAGGAGGTATCGCATCTCCACTATTGATCCAACATGTTGGCCAGAACAACTCGCTCGTAAGTCAAAATCCAAGACAGTGCATTGAAATCCAATGGGTTGCTGGCTCGTTCTTCTACCCGGAGTAGAAACAGTCGGGCGGTGCCCATGACGTACCGGTTGGTTCGCAGGAGAAGCATTCACATTCCGATGTAACAACGGGTTAGGATATCCGTCCGTTTGCGCAGCGCGTAGTGCTCGGTACTGAAAAACGCGTAGATGTAGGCCCGAAGGAAGCTTCGACCAACACCGAGCGACCGTGCGGCAGAGAAACTATGTGATGCACACCAGAGTACGGTTCGTTGGGGTCTTTTTGTCTGTGCTGTGCCACCGCGTTCGTGGATGGCTTGACATCTAGGTTATTAACAACTAGCTGCTCACCTTGCTTCATCACCCTCGTGCTGTCCTTTTGCAACCGAAAACGAACCAATCATTGCATACCTGCCTCGATGCCTTGGCTTCACTGATACGATTATTCATGTCGCTCTTGTGCTGTGTTGGTATTTTTTTAAACTCACACACAATGCTTCAATAACTCATCCAAATCGATGAAACGAACCAACAAACTCCCAGCATTACCCGCGTTGCGGGCCGACGCTTACAGGCTCCATCTCTTGCTGCAACGCGAGGCTTCTCGGACAAGAAGAAAGATGACGAGTCCGGCGCCACCATCCCATTCGGGGTCGGCAAATGGCTCGGCGAAAAGTCCGACCACTTGATCCCCACGGACAAAGACCACGACACACGACCCAAGCACATGCCCGAGTTCTTTCCGGAGGACATCAAGAAAGAAATGAAGGAGATGGGGCTGGAAGGTATCGAGGATTTGGACGAGCTCGAACAAAAGAACATCGACGGATACAACGACCTTGGTCTGGTCCCCCCGGAGGGAACCGGAACCTTTGCCTCGCCAATTCTGATTCCATCCAGGAGAACGTCGCGCGTGGTCGGGTACCAAGACCCGGACTCGCACGCCATGTTCTGGTTCACCATCCACGCCGATGACAACACCTATTACATCAAGGATCTCGGATTGTTCTTCAAGATGCTCCCGATTCCGGCGGAAGAAGATGCCCACGCCCACTAGATCCGTGCGCCGGACGCGGGGGCGGTGGATCCTTTAGTACTGTAGTAGTTGGTGACTTGCCTCGCGCCGTGTCTTGCCTCGTGAAAAAGAAAGCACAGTGGTGATATGGATTGAACAGCGGGTTCTTTCGATTGCCACAGTCAAAACAACACACAAACAAACGCAAATACATGAACTATATGAGATGTACGATAACGGCGCTGGCTGGAACGAGTTGCCGATACACAAGACACACTCGATCTAGTCGTTTCGGAAACAAATTATTTCCAATTTGATGTTCGAGGGACCCAAATTATTAAAAAGAAAAGCAACTTTGCCCACTCAAAATGAACATTCAGGTCTATCTTTTTAAACAATTTTCATTCGTGAATGTTTGCTGCCCCGAACAGAAATTTGTTCGTGCCGTTTGTTTTGTTGGCCATTGTTCTAACCCATGAATTGATTTACATCATGTCGCGTAGCTTTTATTAGTTTGATTACAGGACGAGACTGAGTTTCTGTTTGGGTCGCTTTAGCGTTTCCAGATGTTTCTGTTCGTTCGCCTCCGCCTCTTTTTGTTCCTCTTCTGTCATCCAAGTAGCGGGGCCCTGGTAATCCGCCTGATCGTCGAATACCTCTGTTCTCCTGGCGAAATCTCGATCGAATCGAAGCAAACGTTCTTTTTGCTGAAAGGCCTTGCCGCTACCCCCAGCACTGCGACAGACAGAAAATACAGTATAGCACAGCACAGCGCATTAGGAAATGAGAGCGAAGCGGCGAGTGGTTTGGATTATTGATTTATCGAACGGGAAGGATCGAACTCGAATGACTGAGAATAGCCGATACACAGCTCGAGGAATACCAAAGCAATAATGACAACGAAAATGATACTGCAGGGCGCACGTACACTGGTGCTTCTATCATAAATCCGCAAAACGGACAAAAGCCATACCCTTCGGCTTCGCAACATATTCTGCCGCAGTAAAGGCAATTTGTCAGCGCCTTGTGCTTGCTTCCGAAGCACCCGCACACTACCTTTGCCTTGCCTCGCGAGGGATGGAATTTTTTCACCACCGTTGTTTCTTCTTCTTTCTTCTCTTCTGGCTGCGTATTGTAGCTTTGTGGTTTGGACCGAATGCTGGTTTGTGCCACAGACGTGGTAGTTTTTGCGGGCTCCTGGGTCTGCTTCCCGCTGTACTTTTTCTTGGGGGGGGGCACTCTGGATTTTGCTTCTTTCTTTCGGCCGGAATTTGTTCCCCGTTTCGGTGTTTCCACCGTGTTCTTTCCAAGCGCCATCATCCGGAAGGAATCCAGGGCCGCTGTGTCTTCGCCGGCAGGCGGCTTGGAGGGTGCTTCCTTCTTGTCATCGCCGCCGTCACGCGAGCTGAGACATTCACCCTTCCGATGCCTCGACACGCTATCGACGAAGTGGGACACTTCCGGAGTATTGCCTCCCAACAACTGGGCGAGGTATTCCGAAAGATCCTCTTCGGATTCTATGGAAAACAAGTGATCCAGGAGATCCTCTGCTTCCCCCTCCTCGAACCCCAGGAGTTTCCCCAAGGCCTTTTCCAAGACTTCTTTGTTTTCGTCGGCAATCATTTTCCCTGGACTTTCTTCTTTGGATTATCTTCAGCGAAACCTATTGAACTCCGTTTCTCAAGTCTAAACTCTTTCAAGGGCAATTTCTCCGTCAGTCACGGAAGCTGCTTGGTTGGTGGCATGGAAGGGGAAAAAAGGAGAACGAGAAAATTTATGACAGCTCTCGATACGTACGAACGTACGTACTTACTACATACCATACGACTCGTCCTGCTATGCTACAGAATGAGTTTGCCTTGAATTCAATTCAAGTCTTTCAGTACGAGTACCGTACGTAGCGCATGGTATTTTTTACGTAAATTACGTTAATTACCATCCGGATCAGGATTGAAACTTGCGATGACAACAACAATTCTCAAACGTGGGGATGAAGATGATATTCGTGATTCAGATAGTTCGTGACGGATGACCCCCTACCTTTTTTTTGATTTTCAGACAACAAAACATAATTTTTTTGGAACATTGCATTATTGCCGTCACAGCAAAATATATGTCGTGCCGTATCCGAAGATAGACAACTGAAAGAAACAGTAAACGTGGGAATCGTTATTGCGTGCATACAATATGTACCATCCTTTGCCACTTCGTTTCCTTTGTTCTGTCTTCATTGTGCTGGTAGCAGTTAACCAACAATGCTGCGATGCTCAGCAGCAAAATCCGTTGACGATGAACGGGGGTTCGTTGTTGGCGATGGCCGGAGACGGCTGTGTTGCACTGGCTGTAGACAAACGGTTTGGTTCGGGACCGCAAATGGTGAACATCGCTCCTCGCCACGTATGGGCCGCGCATCCAAATCTGATGCTAGCGTTTTCGGGCCTGGAAGGAGACGTTCAGAGTCTCTCGGAAGAACTGCAGCTCGAGGTGGCCGCGAAACGAAACCGGGCCCTGGGCTTTAGCGTTGGTGGATTGAAAATCGGGAACGAGAAGGGCAGCAATGATGAAATGGATGAGCGGCGGTTCCGAATATCTCCTCCCGCACTGGCATGTCTGACAAGTCACGTATTGTACCAGAAACGAGGTTACTATGTGGAGCCCTTAGTGGTAGGTTTGATGGAGGGAACATGGGCCCCATTCCTGTGCGCCATGGATATGATCGGAGCACAATCGTTCTCGCAGTCTTTCATATGTTCCGGTGCTGCATCAACGTCGTTGTATGGAACGGCGGAGGCGCTCTGGAAACCAAACATGAAACCCAAGGATCTACTAGAATGCTGTGGGAAAGTATTTCAGAGTGGTACGTTCACGAATTGCTCATTCATAAAGCACGTCTTCCTTTACTATTGCTGTGTTATAGATTTCCACTAAAATATTCTTGATGACACCAATTAACTTCCTTTTGTGTTCTCCCTGTCCGGTTGGAATTAGCGCTCGAACGAGACTGTCTGAGTGGATACGGAATTTTGATCTATCTGATAACGAAGGATGGGATAGCAGAATACGATTTCGCAAGTAGAAATGACTGATGATTATCATTTGATATCTGGGTCTTAAAATTAGCCATGAGCTCAGCAAAAGTCATCTGTTCAAAAAAGTAGAATGGGAATCTTTAGAACAAACATTCAATTATCTCTGTATCTTTCTGATTGATTCCTCTATTTGATTGAGAATTGGAAAATGGGATGGTCGATTTGATCTAGGAGGAAAGCATTCATTTTTTTGAATACTCTGCGGAAGTAATTCAGGTCTTCAATCAAGGTGAAGAGGCATTCCGTCAACTTGTTAATTTCATGATGCGAATGCCGAACAATTTTGCTGTAATCCAGTATCAAGCGCTTGAGTTTCTGACGATTACTACGCTCTTTGTTTAATGACATGTGGCGCAATCCTTGGCATTGAAAATACTTTCAATTTTGAAAAACACCTCTGGAAGTTTCTTTCGTCTTTGGAAATACTATCACTTTTTCCACTTCACCTGCAAAAGTATTGCAGAAATTTCATGTTTTTTGCTGTATGAAGCAAAAGTTTCTTCTAGCGCTTAACGCATGCATAAGCAAATAACTGCTTCTTAGCTTACTTTGGCTAATGATTCCATATTTTGTATTGTCAGCAGACAACACTAAATATCAGATGCATTGTCATTTTGCACAAGGGGTTTGCTGCATTTCCAGCGAAGTATCTGTATTCTTAAATACCATCTTTTCAGCGAGGTGAAGTGATGGGTAATGACGGTGAATATCATAAAATATTGTACATCTATTGTCTGCATTTGGGTTAACAGGAATGAAAATGGAAAATGCTTCAATTCTTGATTCTTTTCTGCTCGTACCGTACGGTACCATACGTGATGTGGTTTCTTCCTGTCATTTTTGGAACGTCAGAAAATCATGGAAAAAGGCTATGGTCTAGAGCTACTAAGTACGGGCCCCATAATGGCAAGTTATTGGCAATCCCCCGGGTGTCAATTTTTTCTCATTTTCCCGTCTTTATTTCCCCTCTCCCCCTCCTCCACGAAAAAAAGTACAAGTCCGAAAATATTTCTATACTTGATACTTACTACTGAGAATATCAAATCAGTGCTTATCTCAAGTATTAAGGACCACCAATAGAAATATTTTGGGACCAGCGAGAAATTAAACAATGGAAATATTTTTATTTTCGTCCGTTGGATGCCTTTTTTAACTGGTTTTAACTGTAAAAATGAGCTAAAAATTTCTATTAGTATTTGTACGGGGATTGCCAATAACTTGCCATTATGGGGCCCGTACTTAGTAGCTCTACTATGGTCGGTAATGGTGTAAACGAAGGGCATAAGAGAAATAATTTTCTTTCTCGTTCAATGGACGAGTACTCGTATCGGTTACAGTACTGAATGGGGCTACGGTACTACCGTCCAAGTAGTACTGTATCATGAATCCTCATAAACAAGATTATTTCTGTTGTCACTACTGGTAGTTGATACTTTTATTAACTAAGCATCTTTTTATTTAACAATTTCAAATTAAACACCACGGGCGATTGATTGCCACAACATCATTGTGAAGAAAAATTTAGCAGCATGACGTCTTCCACGGCGACATATATCGTGCTGTCTGTTAATAAACCAAAACAAATTTCAAAATGAAACGGGGCACCGGTATCAGCACCCAACGTCTCAATACTCTGTCTACAGGAAGTATTTATTCCGATGATAAGGCACCTGAATGGAATTTGAAGAGAATTTACGGGAGAGAAAAAGAATCTAAAATAATTCAGAACTGTGTCGACAAGGGATCAAACGGTGTTATAATTTTGAAAGGATGTTCCGGAAGTGGAAAGTCATTCTTTGTTGACGGGCAGCACTTTGAGGAGGACGGATGGATATATGCCACAGGAAAGCACGATATGCGCAGGAAACAAGAACCATATTCGGCACTCATCGACGCCCTCGATGGTCTTGTTGCCAAATGGATGGCAAATAATTCAGCTGCACAACTGTGTAGGATGAATTCATTCAATAACTTGCTGGTCGATGATATGGAATTCTTAGAAACAATTGTACCCAAAATGTTTCGAGAGGTGAAAGCTGAATGTTACAAATCTCGACCTAAAGGTCTCCAAACAACATCTTCACAATTTGGGACCGAAGCTACTGTCGACTCGAAAACAATCAACGCTGCGTTTTGGAGGATAATGTCTTTCCTATCCGAGTCAAAACCGATTATTTTCTTTTTAGATGATCTCCAATGGGCCGACCAGGCCAGCTTGGATGCAATTCAAGCACTATCTACGACGGGAAATATCGAGGGGTTCTGGCTAATTCTTTCATATAGAGATGAGGAAGTAAGCGAAGGGGATCCCGTTTCTACATGTCTTGATTTTATCAAAGAAGAAAACGAGTGTGTAGAAACAATACATATCACTAATTTAGATGAGGAAAACGTCAACAACATTGTTTGTTCGCTTCTGGAACAGGATCCAGAACAGACATCAGAACTTTCGAAGGTGATTCATAACAAGACCGCAGGGAATCCATTCTTTGTCATTCAGTTCATGAAAATGCTTCGACACGAATCTTTCCTAAACTACAATGCTATGATTCTTCAATGGGAATGGGGAGATGTAGGGAAAATGGAGCAAATTGTACACGTTTCGGACAATGTAGCCGATATCATTGCAGCGTCCATGTCAAAATTAACAGAATCGAGCCTCTTCGCTCTTCAGATGGCGTCTTGTCTGGGGAAAGTCGTACCCATGCAGGTACTGATTGAGTTCATAGGCACCTGTGTAGTTGAAGAAGCAAGCAACGACGAGGAACTTGCCATATGTGGCGCTTTAGTGGGAATTCAACTTCAAGGACTAAAAGATGTTTTTGATGAGGCTGTAAAATTTGGTATACTGGTACGCCTTGAAGATGACGAGACATATGTTTGGGCTCACGACAAATTACAGTTTGTAGCATATTCTATGATTCGAAGAAAGAATCTCAATAAGGTCCACAAATCACTTGGAATGATTCTCCGGAATATGTACGAATCGAACCCCGAAAATTGCTGGGCGCTATACATGGCAGCTGATCAACTTAATCGTCTTACCAATGTATGCGATGATAATCTCAATGCAGATATTGCACTTTCAAGTCTCCAAGCCAGCAAAATATCAATATCTAAATCTGCTTTTTTTCCTGGTAAGAATAAGTACGAAGTACGAAAACAGATTTCTTGAAGTGACATGGTGCTCAATAGAGTGTTTGCCACTTATTTTTTTTATTTTTATCAGCCTTGGATATGTTGCGATCTGCAGCAGAGCACCTGACAGCAATAGCTGATCCCTGGAAAACAAATTATCAATTGAGTCTAGAGGTTTTGAGCTCGCTTGCTGAAATGGCGATGCGATTTGGGAGTCACAAAGAGGCAATAAATGCAGCTATACAAGTAGATCGAAACGCAAAAATATTAGAGGATCGAAGCCGAGCACAATTCATCTTTATTTTGCACAAACTTGAGGGCGGCAATCGGGATTACAAAGGTGCGGTAGAATCGATCAAAAGCATTCTGTTGGACTATGGTGTCAAATTCCCGACCAAAATTATGCCAGGGCAACTAATTTTGGAGTATAGAAAGTTGCGGACTCGATTGGGAGGTGCAGGTGAAGCATTTTTGAACCTTCGGCATCTAAACGATGCTCATCCTAAAGATAGGAGGACAAAGATCATCATAATACTACTTGCACGGCTCATCGAATATCTGGATCATGGCGAGAAGACGACGGATTTACAATCGTATGCAGCAATGCGCATTTTAAATATATCGAGCAAAGAAGGGACATGTGCTGCAACCGCACTTGGAGTGGCGTGTTTTGGATCCAATATGATTCAAGATGGACGCGAATATGACGCTAGAGAATTCGGGGAATTAGCGATCAAACTTGTGGACTCTTTCCCATCAAAAGTTGGCAGCTGCCATGCATTAGTTCATTCATGGGTAGCATATGGGGTTTTATCTCAAGCCGTACCTTTTCATGATTTGTTGGATCCATTATTGGACCTTAATCGTATTTCTTTGAGAGGTGGTGGAATATCTGAAGGAGCAATGGCATGGATTGGTTACGCTTATACCTATATGTGTGTGGGGCTTCCGCTTCACCCTTTAGATTTGGACCTCCTGTCGTTTTCAAAGAATGCTCGTCAATTTAGGTTACCCGCCACTTTTAAAGTGTTATTTCCCATCATCCGTCAGGCGATCCAAAATCTTCAAGAATTGAAATCCAATCCAACTTTGCTGAAGGGTGATGCTTTCGATCAGGAAAAGGAGCTCAAGAACTTCAAAGATTTAGGACACAAAATGACCCTCCGTGATATTAACTCTTTCAGGCTCATGTTAGCTTGTATTTATCAAGACTGGAAAATAGCTGAAGAATTGGTGGTGGCGCTAGAACCCTACCTTCATGGTGACAAATTGTTTATCAGAGGACACATTTTGCTTGTCTATATGGGATACGCTTGCATAGTTTTGAGTAGAAGGGCAAATATGATAACGAGGCTTCATCATCGCCAATTGGGGAGGAAAATCATTAAAACATTCAAGGATCAACTCAAGAATGGATCACCAAATGCTCTTCCAGTAGTCATGATGCTCGAAGCAATCGAGTCTCCATCAAAAGAACGTTTTGATGAAGCCATTCGAGTCACAGCCAGACTAGGAATGGTCCAACATGCAGCTGTTGTTTACGAAAATGCCGGACTATTCTTTACGGAGCAAGGTAATGAAGGATTGGCGGAATACTACTTCTCCGAAGCGTCCAAGCTGTATACGGACTGGGGAGCAACTGGTAAAACGAAAGATATGATAGAAAAGCACAACTTTTTGGGTTCGTCTTCATTGAACCGAAACCAGAGTAACGGTTTCATAAAGGGACGCACTCGCTTTTCTCCAGAGACTATGCTTTCGATGCAAGAAATAAAAATTGGACCCGGGTCCTCAGAGCGTATATCCGACATTACCGGTGGCATTAGTAAAGGAAGTAATTTGAGCTCAAGTGTAGCATCCACACTTTTTTCAACCAGCAAGTGAAGTCTTTCTCTGCGAAATAGGAGATTGGAAAAACCACGGCTTGAACCATCGGAATGACCGCAAGCTATGATTCTTTGCAATATATATGATTTTGACCTCTCATTAGCCTTATGTACTAATTGCACTGTTACTTAGTCAATATATTGGAAAGTTTTAATTTCTACAGTATTTGTCATTGTGACATATAACTCGATCAGTACACTCACTCTTTAATTTGGAAAGACTTGATTATACGACACTAAAGAGCATACGTAAATGATGATTTTATCAACTTTGAGGCGTGTTTGATAATGACGAGGATGATGCCAAATTACTGTTGCTTTTGCTGTTGGCTGTGTTGTGCGATACTTCCATCAATATTGATGTGTTGTTTTTATTGCTTGTTGTTGTTGACTCTAGTATATGCTCCTTGTCTATTGTCGCTGCTTGACTCTTTTTCTTGTCATTTTCGTCGTAACGATTTAATCCATTTTCGACCTTTCGAACTTTCTGGTCCGATTCCCCTCTCGATGTTTGTGTTTCTTCCCCAGCTTGCGCCATGGTTGTACCCAACAGGTTTTCCTCGTCGAGTATTGGTGTTTGAATTTGTTTCTTTTGATTTGTTTCAAGTTGCAGGTTCAATTCCTCTTGCGATATCTGCATTTCCTCCTCGCCTTTCGCTGGTGTTGTAGTAGAGATGATTTCCTTTTCGATCATAACTGATTGCTTCGCTTCTCTTCGGTTTTCTCCTTCGACTGTTGTCGTACTTGAGGTGATTTCCTCGTCGGTTGTATTTGTCTGCTCCATTTCCTGTTGTTTTTCGCCTGATATAGCTACCATGTTCTCCGCGGGAACGAATTCTGGACAATGGATAGTATCATTCAGTAGCAAATTTATATTTTCAGGTTGTTTTGGTTCCTCGTGTATATCGCCCTGTTGTTTTTTCATCGATTGTTTCTCATCTGCATTTTCATTCTGACTTTCAATCGTATCGGGTGATGTTATAGGACACTGATTTTCTTCATTCTCCACTTTGTTTGTCGTTTTCTTTGGTTCCTCTMGGAAATCGTGATTTTGTTTTTTCATGAGCTGCTTCTCATCTGCATTTTCATTCTGAATTTCAATAGTATTGGGTGATTTTATAGGATACTGATTTTCTTCATTCTCCTCTGTGTTTATCTTCTTCTTTAGTTCGAGAATAGTTTCGTTTGCCTTTTTGAGTTCTTTTTGTAAGCGTTCAATCATTTCTTTAGCGTGTGTCAGCTCTGCACAGGAACTAGAAGGAATTGAGGCTTCATGGCTGGCAGCGGGACTGGCCTTGGCATCGACAACTGAACTTTTAATCCCATGTTTTCTTGATCTACCACCATTCACATCGTCACTGAAAAAATGCGAGTTTTGAACTGATCTTCGAGGAGAGTATAAACTAGGAATTGATTTGCTAGGGGTTGTTGCGGTGGGAGATCCAAGAGCTTGTAGTATTGCGGGTGGATCCCCATCTTCAGTCTCTTGCTTTGCTCTAAGCTCGATGAGTTCTGCTTTCATCAGGGCATAGGACCGAATGGCCTGTAAGATTGTATTTGGTTCCAAAAAATTCTGATCTCCTTTCGAGGGTCTTCCTAGAACGATCCGAACCAGGCGCTCGGCATCCTTTAGTTGTCGATGCATTGCAATATCTCCGACAGGGTCTCCAAGACAAGGGGTTCGCGGGGATGAATCGTTGAAATTCAGATACAGTCCTTGATCGTCCAATAGCCGCTTGTTCATGCTGGGACTCGCCATTATGTCTACGTTCGGCTCCCTCATTGGGCTCGGGGGCACTGCGAGGTGGTCAATCATAATCTCTTGGGGTGGAAGGGACGTTTTTTTCGGAGTACAAAGTGATAGAGATTTCTGATTTGGATTTGTATTCGATATCTTCTTCGTGGGGATGTTTTCTGTGGAATTCAATTTTTTATCTTTCACTGCGGAATTGTTGGCTTCAATCTCTTTAGCGACAATGTTTTTTGCATACCCCATGTCTTCGTCGTCTTCGTCTTCGACATCTTCGAACAACAAGCACGGGCGATCATCTTCATGTTTCCTTAGTACCCCACGGTCCGTCTCTGATGTCGCTGGCTTTTCCCCTTCCCCTTTGTTTGGCGATGTTCCAAAGCCTGGTGAATGTTTAAGAGATCGAATCGGGCTACTGTCAAGACCGAGGTTGTTGTTTGGACTGTTCGGACTGTTTGGACTGCTAGGTCTGCTTCCCTTGGAGCTTTTCTCTTTTTCAACCTGTCGTCTCACTTTCGACCCTCTGGTTCCAGACCAGCTGGTTAGTTTCTTTAGCCTCATGATGTTATTAGATCTGAGGCTCTTTCTCGACACCTTTCGCGGGAGTATTCGTATTTGAATTCTAATTGAAAGGAACAAGTTTGGGTGTGTCGACCTTGCTGTTTGATTAGAATGAAAGTGAGGACGAACACCGTACCGGTACTGCATATGGGATACTTCGCAATAAATACGTACTGTAATGCTCATCACAAACATCAGTTTTTTCTGAAACCCACCCCGACGAATTTGCTTTGAAGGATAATGTTCGGCTTATGTTTTTTGTTTTCGTCCGTGGGATTGCCGGGCACGCACCCGTTTGTAATTTTCAAATTCTCCATAGTAAAATTGCCGGGCGCGTACGAAAGCGCAGGCTCGCATCATTTTATCTGATTGAATAGCACTCTTGTTAAAGGAGATTTTCTATTTTCTGATTATAACGGCTGTTAATATTTGGGAGATTCTGATTGGTGGTTTTCCAAAAACATGTTTTTAACCACCAATCCGAAATTGAGTTGGATTTTGCTTGTTTTTGAGGAAAAATAATGAATCATGTGACGTAAAAAAACAAGATTTGATGGGAGAAAAATCGTGAAATCCATCGTCGTCAATTCTGCCTGATCACATATGTTAATGGCACATCAAGGTCTCTAGAAGATACGAACTTCGAAGGTATAAATTGGCTGTAGAAAGTCCATTCTGAACTAATTTTTTTATTACGACTTCGGTACATCCAAACAATATGTTTCAGTGGAAGACAGCGTTGGCAATGATTGCGGTATTTTTATTGAGCGCTCGCAATTACGGAATCAATGGCCTAATTTCCAGACCGTCTCGATCTATGCATAGTCGGATTGCGCAACATGCAACAACTCACACAACGTCGACGTTGACTTCATCTGTCTCAATGGTGGCTTCCAACGCAGCGGTCGATGGAAAATCGAAACCTAGTAGCACTGGACGTAAGAGCGGACTCCCAACGGTACTCTTAAAGAGAAATCGGCAAACCAAGAGCTTTCGCGACGGAAGCCAGCTCATTTTTTCTGGATCGATCGCGAGGGAGCCAAAATCTCTTCGACTGGGGGATCTGGTTCAAATCGAAGTTCCGGCGGAGAAAAAAAAAGACAGCAATAACGCGAACGTCCCAACAATTGTGGTTGGATGGGGGCTTTACAATCCTGAATCACTCTACCGGGTTCGAATAGTTCTTCATGGATTGTTGAACAAAAAGATGAAAAAAGAATTCTCAGCTCTGGTAGCTGAGCACGGAGAAGAAGCGGAATCAATGATTTTGAAGCGGATTTTGTCGAAAAATTTCCAGAGATCTCTTCAAACGAGACGGGCACTTGGACTTTCATCAGAGTCGTCGACCGATACATTTCGGCTCGTCAATGGTGAGGGAGACAGCCTATCTGGTCTTGCTGTTGATGTTGTTGGTGGAAATGTAGCAGTAATTATGTCTTCTGCGGCGTGGTGCGAGATCCACAAAGCGACGATCTTGGAATCTTTGCAGCAAATACTACCAGAACACGAGTTGATCTGGAAGACAACTCCTTCCAGATTGAAACAAGATGGTATGATCGTCGATGATAAGTTTAGTGATGAATATACTGGGGACAATATCGATGAACCTGTAATTTGTACAGAAAACGGTATCAAATACCAAACATTCCCACGTCAGAAGGGCCAGAAGACGAGTGTCTATTGTGATCAACGCGACAATAGATTGAATTTGGCTCAGCTGTGTTCCGGAAAGCGAGTCTTAGATCTCTGCTGCTACCACGGAGGATTTTCTTTAAACGCTGTGAAACAGGGTGCCAAGCTCGCCATTGGTGTGGATAGTTCTGGAGATGCTGTTGAGACCTGCAGAGCCAATGCCAGTCTGAACAATTTCGACGACGACACAATTAGTTACGTGAAGTCTGATATTGCGGACTACATGAAAACCTGTGACGAAAAATTCGATGTGGTGGTGCTCGATCCGCCCAAGTTGGCGCCGAGTGTGAAAGCCTTACAAAGAGCCAGTCGAAAGTATCATAGTTTGAATCGAGATGCCATTAAACTCATTGGCGACGAGGGAGGCCTATTGATGACATGTACGTGCTCGGCAGCTATGACACAAAAAGATGGCGGAAAGTTTTTCCTCGAAATGGTGCAACAAGCGAGTCTTTCAGCGCAGCGCGAGGTAACGCTTTTAAGGGTGAGTGGTGCTGCTCCGTGTCACACTCAATCGCCTTTCAGCTTCCCGGCAGGAAATTATTTGACCGCGGCGCTCTTCATGGTACATCCTATCAACTCTGATACAAACTAACAAATAAACAAGTGCAATGAATGATCTTTCATTCTGACTCAGTACTATGAAATAGTTGTTCGTTTACTTTTTTCCATATTTTTCAATTTTCTATTGATCCATGATCGATTCATCCATTGTCGAAGTCAGAAGTATGCCACTTTGTTTAGGCTAACAATGACCTCTTTGCTTCCTTGCAAAGGTTGGAATCCAACGACGGGCGTGAAGCTCTGATGCGACGTACAAGCTCTGACCGCGTCTGTGTTTTACAAAATTCAAGAAGTTCCTATACTTCCCGAGATAACTTCACAAATCAGTTTAGACAATTGCCATTGGTTGCGGTTCAACACTGGGCTGAAACCTATCTACCACCGATTTTACCACTTTCCCTGCTGACGTTAAATTATCTCCAAGCAAACCCGACAGCCCCTTAGGTTTGTATATCTTTTCGAGGATCTCGATGATATCGAATTCTTCGCAAACCGACTCTAAATACTCGTCACTTGTCATGATTTGATCCACGAGGCCCTTTTCCTTCGCTTGAACCGCTAGCCAGTGTTCACCGGTGCCAACCTTTTCCATCCTGTCTTTTAGCTGGGGCCTGGCAAGAGATACGTGGTCCTTGAAGGCCATGTGAATGTCATCCAGTTGTTCCGTCATCTTTGCTTTCCCTTCTTCTGTTACTTCACCGATGACATCGATGGTGCGCTTGTGTTCGCCTGCTGTCATCAGATAAGCGTCGACCTTGTGCTCATTCAGGAATCGCTGGAAGTTAGGTATGTGTGTCACGACACCAATGCTACCAACCACCGCAAACGGTGCGGCACAAATGGTGTCGGCAACCGATGCCATCATGTATCCACCGGACGCTGCAACCGTGTCGATGCAGCAAGTCAGGTGGATGCCCGCTTTCCGGATCCGCACCAGTTGGGACGCTGCAAGTCCGTACTGCGAAACAGCTCCCCCGGGAGACGTAATCGAAACCACGCATCGATCGTGTCCTGGCTTCGCAAGATTGACGACGAGTGAAACTTGTTTTCGGAGCAGTTCGAGATCGGACACCATCACATCGCCATCAAAGACAAAATAAAACATCACCGGACGATATTCCCGTCGAATATCTTGAACCGACATCCCCGCCTTGAGATCGTGTTTTACACGCCTTTCCAACTCCTCCCTGTTCTTTTTCTCTTTTTCTTTCTTTTCCTTCGCTTCCTTGTTGAGCGCTTCCTTAACCTTTCACGGGAGAAAAATGATTAGTACAGATGGAACTGGCGCCATGGAATAGTGCACAGTTTATGCTTCCATTTTTGACTCACGTACCTCTTTCATATGCCCCACGACATCGAGTCGAACATCCAGCAATCCGTCTTCGGCGTTCATGCATCCTTTTTGAAAACGATCGTTCAGCCTACGGAACCGAACCTGCACTTCGTGGAAATGGGGATCTGCTTTGGAACCATTGGTGCCCTTCGCATCGATCAAGTCATCAGCGGTTGTTCCGATGCAAATTGCCGTGCAACCGCACAAACAACTTCCCGCTGCAATCACAAGCAAAACCGACCCCACCAGAAGTAATGGATCCGAGTCCCTATACTTGACAAACAAGACTAGGATGCCCCCAAAAATAATAAATGTCACCGTGATGCAGCAGCAAAATGCACCGATGCATTCAACTGGGTTTATGGTTACACCCGTGGATTCTTTTGAATCCGCAAAAAAGTTTTCGCCCCCCCGGTTGATTTTGGCGGGTTGGTAACGATAGGCTTGCTTTTGTTCTTGCTTCCTTCGCTGGTGGTCATCGTACAATTCGTAGCCAGCACCATCCTCCGACTGCTCGGGCTTCCCTACGAAATTTGCTACAGCGCCGTTTTTGGCATTCCCACCGTGATCTTCATTAATTGCTGCAGGGACAACCAGAGATTTCGTCTCCTCCGCCTTCGCCGGAAAATCATATCCGAAGTCTGCCGTAGAGTATCGCCCCATCGTTGTAGCGTCGTTTCTGCGCTAGCGCACCTCGTGAGAGAAGACAGGATCGTTTCGAAAGATTTTCTTTGAGTTTTCGATTGGGTACAAGGCCCACCAAGATTCTGCTTTCCTTGATGAATATGTGGACACCGATTGGAGTCGTCCGTTCTCGATGACAATCACGGCACTGCGAAAAGGCAGTCTCGAAACGAAAATCGAAAAAGATTCTTCGTTTGATCGAGATCGAAACTTGTACTACCCGTTCGTATTTGTAGAGTTACGTACACACGTAACCGATGCCCGTCATAATGTAAGTCTTCCGGTCTTCAGATGCATCGCGTATCGCGTCCGTTGCGCGCGGGCAGCGTAGAATTTCGATTTGGGAGTGTGGACCCCCACAACTCACGCCAACAAATTATTGGGTACGAGTACGGGTAGGACAAGTATGATGCACGTTTGGAATTTATGTGCGGCACGTTTCGAACGTTAGTTAAACGTACACAGACTCGCGCCGGGTCGGATTTTCCGTACGGTCGATTCTTGCTAAGAATGCTGAGAGCCGAGATTTCAGATTTTCCCTCCCGGAGAAATCCTGAAGGAAACGTCGTGTGCCATAATCCCATACTGTACAATGCAGTACGGTAGGTACGTACTTACTACTAGCAACAAACTGTGTAGCTTCCAAGCCCACTTCTGACATGCTCGAGCAGGGAAACGATTTGCACCTTCGCAGCGATACGCTTCACCGCACACAGCCGACTGAGCAGTACGAGTACCCGAAGATAACACACAACATTACTTCGCTGTTTGTCAGCAGTATCCATCTTCGACGAGACCCTCTACGACTTGGCAGTATTCACCGCTCGACTAGCCCAGGATTTTTCGGTCCTTATCGTCGATAAACGTTGTAGTTCACGGCACACCAACTTCCCCCACGTGATGCAGTGGTTCAATTCGAGGGGCGGAGATGGCGACTTTGATCGTCCCTCGGTGTCAACAAACGAAAGACGTAGTCGAGCAGATGCAAACTATGACGAAACCGACAATGCCAACAACACAACGCCAATGACTGCAATAGGTGACTCTCCCGAGAAAGCTTTCTTTGCGTCCACGTTCGATGCTTACGAGGAAGGCTCGCAGGTATCTTCGAGGGAGAAATTTCACCTTCAATCGGGACATTCAAACGGGCTTTCTGGAAAGGCAAAGTCGCTGCTATACGGTGCTACATCGATTTGCTTCTTGATAGTAATAGTTGTACTCATTGCCATAGGTGCAACACAGGATTTGTTCTCGTCTTCCACTGACAAGAATGGCGCGGGATCAAACCAGAATGCATCGTCGATTGATTTCAAAGAAGGCGTCGACGAGTTATACCAATACCTGATAACTGTGGGGGCCAGGGGGGCCGCAAGTTTTATCAACCCAATCTCTCCAGAATCTCAGGCTCTTGCATGGCTGCAGCAGGAAGATCCCCTGGAGTTGGATCCGAAGGATCCGCAACAGCATTACCGAATCAACCAACGCTTCGCCCTTTTGACGCTGTGGTTCCAATCTGACTACGATTGGAACGACCAAACCAATTGGCTGTCCGAAGACGATGAATGCAGGTGGAAGGGTGTCACGTGCGTGGTGGTTTCGAATTCGAACGAGGGATCACTGCGCAACGGGGATAAAATCGTGCAGGTTCTGAACCTGGAAAAGAACAATTTACAGGGGAATCTTCCGCCGGATCTGTATCTCTTGAAATATCTGACGTCGCTGAACCTTGCCGGGAACCAAATCGTAGGCGGAATTCCACCGACGCTTAATTCGATGCTGTCGCTGAAGGAAATTTATCTGCAAGACAACAATCTCTCGAGAGAGATAACACTCGACTTTTCTCGAATGTCGTATCTGACCGATCTGAATGTTTCCAACAATAAGCTAGAGGGCACCATCCCTAATTCGCTGTTTTCGATCGCTTCTCTAAGTCGCATTCAATTGGAAAACAACAACTTCACCGGTGGGATCTCGGGCGACGTAAGGAATCTGATTAATCTTAGTAAGAAAAGCACTCGTTTCGAATGGGATTGATCGCTATAACTTTGCGCTGCCGATATTTGTGGTTTCTCATTCTCTTCCTTTCCTCCTGCAGACACATTCACCGCAGGAAATAACGAGCTCAACGGAACTATTCCTACCGAGCTTGGCTCTATTGAGAATCTCGAAGAATTATCGTTGAGAAATAACTCATTTGTAGGGAAAATACCCGTTAAATTATCCGGCCTTTCTTCGCTCAGATCCCTTGATTTGTCGTCGAATGCATTAAAAGGTACCGTCTTTCCGCTTTCAAATATGGAGAAGCTAGCAACGTTGGTACTTGGAAACAACGACCTTTCCGGCGAAGTTCATTTTGGAGGGCTGCAAAACCTGGAAGAGATTAATTTAGAGAACAACAAGTTTTCTGGCCCTTTGCCGAGATTTCCGGATTCTCCTGGCATTCGAAGTTTGAGGGTGGGCGACAACAATTATGATAGCCAACTATTTCCCACGGAATTTTTGGAGATGACGAGTTTGACGAATCTGGGACTAAACAATCTTTATCTAACAGGAGCTATCCCGGTTGGCATTGGAACGTTGACGAGTTTGGAAATACTTAACTTGGAAGACAACTTAATGAATGGAGTCATCCCTTTACCAATCTCGGATCTGACGGCTTTGACCGAGTTGTCGGTGCGGAATAACCAATTGTCTGGAACAATACCGTTCGAGATATCCTACCTGACGAATCTAGAGAAGCTATCTCTTTCTTCGAACCGGCTCGATTCGAACATACCTGTTGCCATCCGTCATCTAACAGCTCTGAAAACTCTGGAATTAGAGTCCAATGTTCTCGAGGGTGAGATTCCATCGTCTATAGTCTCTTTGTCAATGTTGGAGACATTGAATTTAGCTGACAATGCATTGACTGGTTTGGTACCGCAATCATTGTGGTCACTTCCGTCGCTCCGTGAACTTGTCCTTGCCAACAACTATCTTGTGGGACGGGTACCGGAATTGATTGGAAACTTGAAAAAGCTCGAAGTTTTGAATCTTGCCGCGAATACATTTCACGGTCGAATTCCCGAGAGCATGACCTCTATGACCAACCTACTATCTCTAGACTTATCGTTCAACTTTTTCGGTGGCCCGATTCCCACCGACATAGGGGGTTTGGAAAATCTTCGCGAATTGCTTCTTGGTACCAACTACGACGAAAGCGACAAGACATTCGGCTTTGACGGAACGATACCCTCGTCAATAGCATACATGGTCAAGCTGGAACGACTGGAACTGAATCGAAACAGATTCTCTGGTGTTTTGCCTTCTCATCACGGATTTATGAAAGCTGTCCAAGTCTACGATGTTTCGGAGAACGATGACCTGGCGGGGACGATACCGACGGATTTTTCCAATATGGGTCAACTGAAGGGGTTAAGAATATTTGGGACGAAGATCGAGGGAACTATACCGGAAGAACTTTGCAAGGGGGGGATGTCGATAGAGATGGATTGTGCAGGTGCCACAATTACCAATTGCGGCTGCTGTATATGTTCTCCGTAACGTGATACGATTAATCTATAATAGTCTGAACACAAAGATTATCATTACTACTACGTAGTTTCGAGCCGTTTCTTTTATAAAGTTTGATGCCACTCTAACGATGGCCCAAAACGAGACAGTTCTTTGCATACGGGGCCGCTAGAACCTCTCTGAAAGGGTCGCTAATTGGTCAATATTGAATTCTATCACCAGCCTCGTAGGACCAGACATGACACAAAACAAAGAGTAATTTGAAGCAGATCGTATTTTATTGATTCGTTACTATTTTTTGAGACATTTGCTCTCTCGAAAAGTGAAATTAGCGTGCCGGCGGCAACAGCTAGAGCTTCGTCGTCGCATAGCGGCCAAGCACTCACAAACGGCGGCACGTCTAATCCACCTTGACCTGTCCGTAAATCGTACGGGTGAACCAGAAACTGGACATGAAGCCAACAGCTCCGCAGAAAAGTCCGAAGCAAATGGATATCATTGACATGTATGTCAAGTAAACAATAACGGGCAACATTCCTACCAAGTCCAATCGGCTCGACAAGAACCAGAGACTGTAGAGGAACAAGTAAATCCCAGCCATAGCGCAGTTGTTAAAGGACTTCCACCACCAACGGTGATCTTCGGCGCAGAGCTGCAAGTAGCACAATACAATGCTTACTTGAGCACAAGTGGCTGCCAAAATCCCCAAAACGGCTAAAAGAAATCCCATGACGTAGTAAATTTGGTGAAGCCAGAGCGCCGACATGATGAATGCCAGTTCGATGCAAACGGATCCGAAGGGAAGGACACCTCCCATCAACATCATAACACCACTATTCATGTGGATAGGAGCCTCAGGGATGACACGAGCAATTTGTTTTGTTTTGGTAGGAACTTCAATGGTTGGTGCCTTGAGTCCAATAAATGCTCCAACAAAGACCATAGGCGCAGAGATGGTGACCCAAAGCAAGAAGAGAACCAGGATGGTCAAAAAGCTAACGGCGGTGGCAGCCCCGGCAAAACTCAAAAAGATGTTCAAAAGGGTAAACATGCCGACAAATACAGCTGGTAAACCAGTCGCAGTCGCGATGGAATTCATCTTCCAGTTTGTGGCCTCGCAGAACTTGTAAATGCGAGAAGACACAAATCCTGCAATTGACCCGCAAAGGACGTAGAGCAAGATCATAGACGTCAAAATCTGTCCCTTTCTCATCGAGTTTGTCACATTAAAGATGGCAAGAAGCATAGCAAAGCCGAAAGCACAACCGATCTGTGCACCTGTACCAACCATTGCCGAAAGCAACATAGGAGAGAATTGAGGAGGGCGGAAGACATCCCCGTGCACCAACTTCCAGCCAGTCTCTTCTTGAGCTTCTTCTAAAGTCTGCAACTCATTGTATCCAGCAATATCCTTGCGAAGAGTGCGGATGACGATGGTTGCGACAGCTCCAGTCATGAACAAGACAATCATGAGACTGTTGATGATGGAGTAGTAGTGAATATCGTCATCGGGTGCACCGACCAAATAAACATCCCAACGGTCTGCCCACAACAAGCTATCGTTTTCAATCCACGTAACATCATAACTATAGATGACATCCACAGAGTTTCCTTTGTCAAAAGATAGAGATAGGTAGCTAGATGGATCGTTTTCGACACCCATTCCTTTACAAGTGGATAAACTCGAAGCGGTCTCGGTCACAGCTTTGTTTTCGGGAATATCGTGGGCAATACTGACAGGGTGGACATCGAATCCAGTGATGCGAATACCATCAAAATCTTCGCCCGTGCGGTAGGTAATGGCAAACTTTAAGTGATTGTATAGGTATACATCTGCATTGTTACGCTTGCTCTTTGCTACTGTCCCACCAGCGGCAGAAACAAATCCGATGGGGTATCCCCTTACTGCATAATTCAGTTCCGAGCTTCTCATCAATACTGGTAGGCCATCCAACTGAAGTTGAACTCGGTACTGACGCTGAATCAGATTTCTCATCCAACGGAGCTTTTTTCCTTCCAAAGTAACAAGACACATGGGAGTACATTCCTTGTCTTGTTTGGCAAAGAGTTTGAATGGAGCAGGCTTCGTGTCGTGCCCCTGCAATCTTGCACCAAGGTTCTTTCTCTCGCGTCGTCTTCTCTTAATACCAGATTCGACCTGATATGGGCATCCAGGCAAATCGTAATATTCATAAGGAACTTGGGTCTTCTTCGATTCCACTAAGTCGGAATAAATCCAAACTTGTTCTTGAAAATTATACTCTTCGGGAGAAACTCCAGGGAACAAGATTTGGGCCAAGGAGGTTTGCTTTTTACGAAGAAGCCCCTTTCGCTTTTTGTTGCGAAGACGGTAGTTTCGCAACATTTGTGCTTCAGCAGAGTTGGTTACCTCGTCGGCACCTTCGCGGCGCAAAGTCTTGTAGGTCTGCATTTCGGCATCGGCAACTTCCTTCTTTTCGCGGCGGTTCAATCGCTTTGCTGCCTCAATCTTTTCGACTGTCTTCTTTCGGAGTTGATCCTTGTGGGCCAGGGCACCACGTGGAGAGACGGCTCCCTTGGGAACTCCCTTTTTCGTTCGCTTCGGTGCAGGGGCAGCAGCGTTAGAACCGCTGCAGGCCAAGAGCAAGATGCAGCCCACAGTCGACAGGATCTTTTGCACGGGCATCATGATGAAAAGCTTTGTACGTCAATCTGGTTAACCCAACACAACGCAAATAATGAATTAAATTCTTGATTCGAGTCTACTAAAGTACAGATTAGACTGGTTTATGATGGTAATAATGAACTAATGCCTGTCGTTCAACGAAGGTCCTCGATCTTTGAAAATACAGTAGGCATTATCTGTGCTCTGATCTGTATGAAGTTCTATTATGACTTTTGTCTCAGTGCTGTACTGCTGTTTGGTACGAAGTGCAGTACTTCGTATTGTATTACGGTGCCGTGCAGTACTAAGAGTACGATTACGAACTACAGTACGAACTCGGATGATAAAATATTCTTCTACTCTACTTCGTAATAGACTACTAGCTGACCGTACGGTACGTACCCATACCGTTACTCGTTCGAACCATACGGTACTGTAGCTCCGCGAGAATGAAAGTCGTTGTTTTTAAAATGAAATAGTAGGCAATTCCGAGCAAGAACGGCAGTTATCGAGCATGCACGTACTCTGTATGTGACCGGTAATCCACGTGGCACATATTCTATCATCCTGGTGGGCAAAACTAGTACTAGTACTAATAGTAGTAGTACATACTATCAATGCTAGCACATTGCAGCAAAGATAAGAGTATTTTTTAGTAGGCCATACTTCTAATTACTAGTATGAAAACCTTTATTGAATTGTTGGCCATTCTGTTCAAAAAAGATGCATTCTTGTTGTACTACTACTACTACTACTAGTACCATCATGACTGTCAATCATAGTACTAGTAGTAGTACTACTACTACAACTATTTGTTTGTTTCATCATCATGGTTGTGTGGTACTCTAGTAGTAGTACTAATACTAAATAGTACTAGTACAAGTACAAGTACTAGTAGTAGTGGAAATAATTGACACCATGTGAGTTGCTTTCCACCTGAAATAAGGTTTTCAATCATTGGGGGCATGCTTGTTGTGCTGTCTGTAGGATATCAGACCGTGGGTATGACTCATACATACTACACATACATATGATACGTATCTACGATTCATACACACCATACATATATGACTCACGCAATCCCACTGGATTCATATTATCGACATGACTCATTTCATTCACTTGCGTGAGTGACTCGACTCATTCGATTCACACATCACTCGATCCTCACAGYGATCCATTCTAGATTTCATAGTTCRTYGATCCTCGATAAGAGCATCGACTCACTTTTCTACTAGCACACACTTTACATCACTTTTAGGACAGTCACTCCCACAGGTTATGCTCCCACATGTTGTTCTTCTTTCTACTAGTCTACTACTGATTCTACTAGTAGTACATACTAGTATTCTACTGCTACTACACAGTCAGCAGTCCAAATATTCAGAATGCCATCCACTTTCTTTTGCCATGGTTTAACACCGGTGGGGGTGAGCCAATATCCCAGGAAATCAGATTCCTTTACTGCCCATTCACATTTCAATGGATTGCACTTCATCCCATTCGATGCGAGACATTGAAGGACTGGGTCTACCAGAGACAGGTGTTTGCTGAATGGTCCTCTGGACCAGATACCCATGTCATCAATATATACTTCAACATCAAGGTTCACCTGAATCTTGGTGATAAATGCCTGGGCATAATCCGGAGATGACTTAAGGCCCATTGGTAATCGTAGGCATCTGTAGTTGCCATGGGTCGTGGTGAGTGTGCAGATTTTTTGGCTGGCTTCATCCAGCTCAAAGCAATAAAACATCATCAACAGATCAATCTTCATGAAATGATTGTACTGTGTTCTTTGGTTCATGATGTCCTGGATTTTGGGGAGGTTAAACTGAGGTCTCTTGATCCTCTTGTTTAACTCTCTGAGATCAACAAGCCATCTGACTCTGCCATCCTTTTTTGGAATGATAAAGGCTGGGAAGCCCCATTCTGAATTGCCTATGGGAGCAATCACTCCTTCATCAACTAGATGCTGACATTCCCTTTTGAACACATCCTCGTGTCTGTAGGGTACTGGGTATGGTCTTATGTAGACTGGTTCGGCATCCTCCCTTAGATCTATGTGGATCTTTTCATGAGGATATCTACCAAGCTTGCCATCAAACAACTCCTGGTGTTTGGCTAACATCTYTTGGAATGCTAGTCTTTCTGAATCATTCATGTGCTCCTCCTGATGGTCTGCAACCTGCTTTGGAGTCATTGCTTGTTACTAGTGATGCTGAGTGTTGCTGATGAAGAAGTGGACTGTGCTGTCAAAGTTGCTGATGGGTGTTGTTGGTTCGTTGTCATTGTTGTTGTTGTTGTTGTTGTTGTTGTTGTTGTTGTTGTTGTTGT